AGTCATTCCTCAAGCCCACTAGGCCCTACACCGTTTTCTAATCTCCCTTATTTAAAACAGCTCAATTAAGTCATCTGCTTTATTGTAGAGTACCCCTAGTATCTGAGCCTGCACTGCGCAATGAAAGAAAGAAGCAAAACGGGATGGACAGATGCCTAAAATGTTAGAAACGCACCACACCTTAAGTCAGTGAAGAAAAAGTGCAAAGCTTCCGACTCCGGTGGGACTCGAACCCACAACCTTTGAATGGCTCAGCTCACAACCTAGAAGTCCAATGCGCTATCCATTGCACCACAGAGCCTAAGTACTCTGCTTCCTCTAGAACTGTTGGACAGAAAGCACTTTTTAGTACTCTCTGGCCCATGAATGAACAGCCAACTGCGGACAAGGCACTGCTGGAATTCAAAGCCAGGATCTCCTGTTTATTAGACAGGCACTTTGACCAACTAAGCCACAGCGCCAAATGACCTTGATACTGGCTAAATGTTTAATTCCAAAAAAAAAAAAAAAACTAACAACGGTAGCGCTGCATGTGGGAATGTCTGGACTTGAAATATTAAAGTCCAATTGGTTAGGCATTACCACACTATGCTATATAAAGGCATCGTCCAAAGCCCTCTTGAACGAGCAGCGTTCTTAAGGATTTGAGTTTTGTTAAGAAACCGACTGCTAAACATCCCGCTGCGTAAACACTCGTTACTCTTAACAAAAGCAAACATGAAACCTGTGCATAAGGCATCTCCTGTTTACTAGACAGGCACTTTGACCAACTAAGCCACAGCGCCAACGCTGAATAGGAGGCAAGACGTTTTTGCACACAGAGACTAAAAAAAGACAGCAAGTCTTAAAATGGCAAGCAAAGAGGTTGTTTAACTCTATTTGTCGCACTATTCATTACGCCTCAAAGCTATACAATTTTATAATTCATTCCGGTGAGCTCTATTTAACATTATTAATCTATCATTATTAATCATCTATGTAACATTAATTACAACAACACAATTATTATATGATTGTTATAGATGTTATATGACGTTGTTTGTTAAGATTAATGTTAGCCGACCAAGCACACTGTACAGTTTTACTACAAACATTTTAATGCAGTTATTATACATTACTTCACTTTATATTGTCATTTACTACCATAGTTACAATAATGCCCGTGCATTATTCTCACACATTAATCAATCACTTCTCTAATAATAAATATAAGGATCAATTCATCAGTCATTAATTATAAACAAATAGTATAATAACGCTCACATATCACTACATCACTAATCATAAACTTATCTAATAATGCTCACGCATAATACATCACTAATCATAAAGCATAAAACAATATGGATCACGCATGATTGCATCACTAATAATAAACCAATAATATAAGGGTCACAATTTAATCCATCACTAATAATAATAACATTATTATTAGTGATGGATTGATGTGTGACCCTTATATTGTTGGTTTATTATTAGTGATGCAATCATGCATGATCCATATTAATTAATTAATAACTGCATTAAAATGTTTGTAGTAAAACTGTACAGTTTGCTTGGTCGGCTAACATTAATCTTACCAAATAACGTTATAAAACATCTATAACAATCATATAATAATTATTTTGTAGTAATTAACGTTACTGTAATGGTTATTCATTTAAACCACCTTGTTAAAAAAATACTTACTTTGCAATTGGTTTCCGAATTAATCCGCAACGAAATCTTTTATTACAGTACAAATCATGGATGGTATAAGGGCTCTGATTGGCCATAGCGTTCATTGTAACTCAGAACACGATTGGCTGCCTTAACCAAGAATAGGGTGAATCTTGATTCCAGCTCACAAAGTGATTGGCCGGTGTGACCAAGAATAACCACGACTTACAAGTGGCAGTATGAGCTAACCGGCCACTTACTGCCAAGCTTAATAAAAGTCTTCCAGTTGGTGCTGCCCAGGCTAAAGAAAAAAAATATTAAAAAAAAAAATTATAAAACGGCCTTGCCAGAAAGTAGCAGAATGTCAATACAAGGCGGTGGCAATGTGCATTGATTTCTGAGTAACTCGTCATTCGGCATGCAGGGATCCTCACACGTTTACTGGAGCAGGACCAGGTAGGGCCTTCAGTCACCTGCCCCTTGTGCACAAAATAGAACAACACCACTGTTTTACAACCCCGGGATCGAACCAGGGAACTTTAGATCTTCAGTCTATTGCTCTCCCAACTGAGCTATTTCAACTGCCTTTTCACAAGTATCCTGCAGCATTCATGTCTGTGAGACTAAGCAGAATCCTGAAATGCCTCTGAGGCCTTAAAGGGTAAAATGTTAGCCAGTACGGGGATCGAACCCGCAACCTTGGTGTTATTAGCACTACGCTCTAACCAGCTGAGCTAACAGGCCACTTTCTGCCATGTTTGCTAAAAAGCTCAGAGTAACTGTCATTTTCTTCAAGAGATAAGAATGCTATTCCAGCTTTTTTTGTGCGGTGCTGGTAAAAAAACAAGGTCCCACCAAGATTTGAACTCGAATCGCTGGATTCAGAGTCCAGAGTGCTAACCATTACACCATGGAACCTCAAGTCTTCTGCTTGGTGCTGCTCGGGCTAAAGAGAAAATAATGTAAAAAAGAAAACGGCCTTGCCAGAAAGTAGCAGAATGTCAATACAAGGCAGTGCCAATGTGCATTGATTTCTGAGTAACTCGTCATTCGGCATGCAGGGCTCATCACACGTTTACTGGAGCAGGACCAGGTAGGGCCTTCAAAAGAAAAGCGCACTATTCCAGGCATTTTGACGACTAAACGGCAGGCAGGGCAAAGAGGCCACCACAGAGCAAATGTGATCTTTTTTTTCTATTTTGACCACGTCGAAAATCGCCAACTATTGATTGCTGTGAGGGGAATTAGCTCAAATGGTTAAGCGCTTGCTTTGCATGCGAGAGGAAGCGGGAACAATGACTGCATTCTCCACCTCTGTTTTCATGCCTTTTTAAAGCGAAAAGGTTTAAAGTGAAACTCTCCTGATTTAATCATCACCAGAAGTGACGTGACCATCTGGAAGTAAGATAACTTTTTGGTGAAGTGGAAGCAGTTGGACTTAAGGGTGCAGCAGCTAGGCTTTTTGGGTGCCTTTCGGTCACCTAACTCTTGTGCCCAAAACTGAAAAACAACACTACTTTACCGAACCCTGGTTCTAACCAGGGACCTTTAGATATTCAGTCTAACACTCTCCCAACTAAGCTATTTCAGCTGCCGTTTCATAGTTTTTTTGCAGCGTAGACGTGTGTAAGACAGAGCAGAGCCCTTAAATGCATCTGAGGCCTAAGAGGGTAAGAGCTTGGCCAGTACAGGGATCGAATCCACAACCTTGCCGTTATTACCACCGTAGTCTAACGAGCTAAGCTAACCGGCCACTTCCTGCCTAAAGCACTAGAAAGCCCAGAGTAAATGTCATTCCCTGGCCTTCAAGAGATTAACATTCTATTCCAGCTTTTTTTTGTGCGGTGCTGGCAAAATAACAGGTCCCACTGAAATTTTAACTCAGATCGCTGGATTTAGAGTGGTCACCATTACACCATGGAACCTCAAGCTTGTTGTGTGGTGCTGTCAAAGCTGTAGGGAATGAATAAAAAAAAAAACGGCCTTGCAGGAATGTAGCAGAATGTCAATCCAAGGTGGTGCCAATGTGCATTGATTTCTGAGTAACTGAGTCATTCTGAGTCATTCGGCATGCAGGGCTCCTCACACGTTTACTGGTGCAGGAATAGGTAGGGCTTTAAAAGAAAAGCGCACTATTCCAGGCAATTTGACGACTAAACGGCGGGCAGGGCAAAGAGGCCACCACAGAGCAGATGTGATCTTTTTTTTTTTGACCACGCCAAAAACTACCAATTTGAATTTTTCTGAGGGGAATTAGCTCAAATGGTAGAGCGCTTGCTTAGCATAGGAAGGGGTCCAATCTTCTCGCTCACTCGCAAGCGAACAAGCCGCAAAAACACGGAAAAATGCGACAAATTTCGCTTGCAGTAGTGTTCGCGGCTTTGTGACTGTGCATAATGTGGTATTTTAGTTGCATATTGCATGTCACTCTAAATGTCATTTTTTGCGTGCTGGATTCGAACACACGATCTGTGTAACACAATATCCAATCAGTGTCGGTTTTAGCGGAGCCAATCAGCTGCGCTCTTATTGAAATTTTACTGATGTAACACAGGCAATTATATTGATATTACTATTATTATGTGGATATTGTTCTTAAAAAGCATATTACGTTAATTAAAAATGAATGCAAATGTTTCAATTAAACATATGTATGCATGTTTATGTATATATAAGTATATTATATATATTTATTTATTAATATATAAATATATACTATACTATATATATATATATATATATATATATATATATATATATATATATATATATATATTAATATATGTTATATTTCTTTATGTAATAACTTTAAATGAATGCACACAAAAACAAGTAATATGCAAAATGGTTTATTAAAATGAATACAAATATTAAAATCGCAAAACAATTTAAAAAATATAAAAAACAAAATAAAAACATATCTTAATATATAAAATGTATAATATACAATAAATAAAAACAATACAATATATATTTATTTATTGTGCACATATATTAAAACAATATTATATATATATATATATATATATTTACTTATTATACACATTATATAAAAACAATACTCTATATATATATATTTAGTTTTATATACACAATATATTAAACAATAATATAAATACATAATAAAATGCAAGAGTGGGGGCACGTAATATATAAAATATAGTATTTAAGCAATGTATAAAATTTTATTTTTTTAAAGAAATATAAATATATTTTTACATAAAATGCACACAAATATTAAATAAGAACACACAAGACAAAATAAGAGTGGGCCTATAAGTGCCACTTTAAAATGCTAAATATTAACACACAAAAATTAAATAAAATGAGAGAGAGAGAGTACCCATGTAACATTTACAAAAATATATACAGCAATTTGTCCTTTATTCTGGAGCTGGAGTTTGTCCTTTATTTTGCTGGCGCTGTTCTGCCAACCAGTCCTCTAAGGACAAATCGGCTATGGCCAAACTCCTTAGTCTTTGGTTGCCCACATTTGCTGCAAACACTTTTCTTCTCCTGTTCCCGTCTGCGCCTGTTCCTCTGGGTGTAACGGGACACAGGAACAGCAGGCGCAGGTGGAGCAGGTGCAGGTGGAGGAACAGCAGGTGCAGGTGGAGCAGGTGCAGGTGGAGGAACAGCAGGTGCAGGTGGAGCAGGTGCAGGTGGAGGAACAGCAGGTGCAGGTGAAGCTGGGACTGCACTGGATGTTGGTGCAGCAAATGATGGAATCACCATTGACACACTCATGTCTGGGTTAAAAACAAGTGTGCCAAACAATGATCCAGGTCCTGAAATAGGCTGCACAACATCTGGTGCTGTGGGGGGTGGTGCAATGGGGCACACCGTGCTGGGGGTCGGTGGAAAGGAGCACACCGTGGTGGGGGCAGATACAATGAGGCGCACTGTGGTGGGGACCGGCGCAATAGGGCGCACTGTGGTGGAGGCTGGTATGATGGGGCACACTGTGGTGGAGGCTGGCGAGATGGGGCGCACTGTGGTGAAGGTCGGTGTGACGGGGCACACCATGGTAGGGGCTGGTGCAATGTGGCAGACTGTGGTGGGGGTTGGCGTGATTGGGCATACCGTCGTGGGGGCCGGTGGAAAGGAGCACACCGTGGTGACATCCGGCAGGAAGGAGCAAACTGTGGTGGTTGCAGAAGCAGACTTTTGACCAGGTCGAAGAAGAGGTGCCTGTCCTTCTTTATTTGGAGGAAAGACAAACTTGTGTTTGGGGCCTGATGTTGTCGGTGCCTCGTCCAATTTTCCCCTCGGCAAAGGAAGCTGCGTATCTGCCACAGCAATTGGATCAAGTGGAGTCAGTCCCTGAGTGAGTACACTCATTTCCTGATCCTTTTGCCTCCGTTGAAACCTGATAATAAATGATATGTATTATTCATTTATATTAATTTAGAAGTATTCAGGTAATCTAAAGAAAATAATGTGCTTTGCTTACCACTGAATGAGCGTCTTCTGATTTAGCTCAAAAAGCTGGATCACTGTTTCATCCATCAGCCTGCGACTGCCAAGCACCAGATCCCGGATGTGGTGGTAATCGGTCAGTATTTTAGACCACCTGTGCGTGCGAACACCAGCCTTCTTGGAAGTGGACTTGTGTACGGCACACAGCTTTGTACAAATGGCCTCAACCAAGCGGCTGGTGCTAGGCCACTGTGCTGGACCCTCAGGATGTCCAATCAGACAGCGCTTGACGCTCTCCACACCTGGAGTGACTCCGGAGCGCTTTGGTGCCTTAAAGCGCCCATGTGTCAGCTGAGGCTCATGTCGAGGCTGGTAGTTGATGCGCTGTTTATCAACATCCAGGAGAGCTGTCCACAGCTGGATGGCCTCTGTCACCTGCAGGTCAGTGAGGTAAGGAGCCTAACGAAGACCTACCAAATAAGCAGCCAGATCCTGCACCTTGTCCCACCCAGCAATGCCATCAGGTCCAATGACTACTCCCTGGTAAATACAGAATAAATTTAGTATATGTGGAATAAAAAAGACTAAATAAAATTAAGTTCTTAATATATCTTACCTGAGCCTCAACAGAGAGACTGTCTCCAGACTTGGATGGCTGTGACGGCACTGAGGGGGCTGGGCTAGGAAGCTGTCCTTCTCCACCAGCTGATGTGGACGGCTCAGCCAGTAATGCTGGGGACTGAGGCAGAGGCGAAGATGAGGGGCTGTTTCTGAGATCACGGCAGGGGTCATCCTCATACAGCACTGGAACTGTGATGTCCTCCATGATCTCCTCCTCAAACCCGTCATCTTGTAGATCCTCGTCATGTACTTCCTCCACCAGCCTGTCTTCCTCCTCTGGGTTCTGGAGCACCGGAGTCAGGGTTTTGCCGGTCTGGCTGTAAAGGTGCTCCATTCCCAGCAATTCACCTTAAAAAAATAAAACAATTAAAAAAACATATATTAAATAAAACTAATGATAAAATAAACATTTAGATTACCATTTTGTGTAGTACATTAAAAGCTTAATAAATAACTTCCATAACAACTAATTAATGGATTTCTTGCCTGTATATGCTCCAGGAGGGTGATAACGGTTATCCCAGGGCTTGCGTCCTGAGACATATCTTTTGGTGGACAATGAGCATTGTGTTTTTCCTCTCTCTCTCTCTCCCTGCAGGTAACTGTGTCCACCTTGTAGCAATCATTGGATCTTTCTAGAGAGGAGAGAGAGTATTTAACCTGAGCTGCACTTCAAACCAGTGTTGGTGGTGTCAAGTGCAGTGGCAGAGCTTTTCTCCAAATTCAGACCTGACTCATGAGGTGAACGGATCAATTCTTTTTCCGGCTCTAAATGCGTATGATTGTCCCATGATGAATGAGTGACTCAGACCCGATAGAGGACTCAAGAGATGAACGGATCAATTCCGACCACAACCCAAAGCTTGCCTACTTGTAAATTACTGACGTGGAGACTGCATAGCTCAGTCGGTAGAGCATCAGACTTTTAATCTGAGGGTCCAGGGTTCAAGTCCCTGTTCGGGCATGTGACGCTCATTTTGTGGAGCCACAGCTTTTGCCGTTGAGCTATCGCTTGATGAAAGTTTCATCTGGATGCACAATATGTGTACTAGGCATAAAGTAATGGCGGTACAGTCAGTCTTGTAGTCGTGGCTGAGTGGTTAAGGTGATGGATTAGAAATCCATTGGGGTATCCCTGCGCAGGTTTGAATCCTGCCGACTACGTCTTCCCTGTTTTTAAAATTTCAGCAGTCGTCAATTGTTTGCATTTCCATTGTTTCTTGGGAAAAGCGTTGTGCTGGTAGGAGGAGAAAAACAACAGAGTGTTCTCACTGAAGAGAAAGGGGCTTATCACAGGGAGGAACATACCACACATAGGTCACAAGGGCTGTTTCGTAGCTCGCCGTGATCGTATAGTGGTTAGTACTCTGCGTTGTGGCCGCAGCAACCCCGGTTCGAATGCGGGTCACGGCAGGCTTTTCAAGGTGACATTGGTGTCGCACTCTGTGTTGCCATCCGTTACCTCCAGCCTTCTTTTAGTGCAGGCTGTGCTAATGGCACGTCCTGAATGTTTACGTTTTCCTAAAGTGTGGAAGACTAAGGCATGGAAGGAATCTTTTCAATTGTTGAGTGTCCATTCATTGCCACAACAGCAGAAAGACATTCTGCAGTTATCATTGATCTATTTAATGTCTCCTACATGACATGAAGTCCAAACTATTGTGTTGTACTGATGTCTACACCTACAAAAACCATAAACCCAACCTCAAAGTAACCTGTCGTGTTTTAGCAACCTCCACACCAACCATAAGCTTAAAACCCCATCTCACGGTAAACTTTAGTGTACTGTAAAGGTCTGCGCCGACCACAACCCAAACCTTGCTTACTTTTAAATTACTGTTGTGGAGCCCGGATAGCTCAGTCGGTAGAGCATCAGACTTTTAATCTGAGGGTCCAGGGTTCAAGTCCCTGTTCGGGCGTGTGACTCTCATTTTGTGGAGCCACAGCTTTTGCCGTTGAGCTATCGCTTGATGAAAGTTTCATCCGGATGCACAATATGTGTACTAGGCATAAAGAAATGGCGGAACGGACAGTCTTGTAGTCGTGGCCGAGTGGTTAAGGCGATGGACTTGAATTCCATTGGGGTCTCCCTGCGCAGGTTCGAATCCTGCCGACTACGTCCTCCCCCTTTTTAAAATTGCAGCAGTCGTCAATTGTTTGCATTTCCATTGTTTCTTGGGAAAAGCGTTGTGCTGGTAGGAGGAGAAAAACAACAGAGTGTTCTCACTGAAGAGAAAGGGGCTTATCACAGGGAGGAACATACCACACATAAGTCTCAACGGCTGTTTCATAGCTCGCCGTGATCGTATAGTGGTTAGTACTCTGCGTTGTGGCCGCAGCAACCCCGGTTCGAATCCGGGTCACGGCAGGTTTTTCAAGGTGACATTGGTGTCGCACTCTGTGTTGCCATCCGTTATCTCCAGCCTTCTTTTAGTGCAGGCTGTGCTAATGGCACGTCCTGAATGTTTACGTTTCCTAAAGTGTGGAAGACTAGAGATATGATATAAGAGAAATAGGATCTTTGATGCCAGCATGCTGTGTAGATAAGTACTGATCAAGTCACGCTTCTAAGGCATGGAAGGAATCTTTTCAATTGTTGAGTGTCCATTCATTGCCACAACAGCAGAAAGACTATCTGCAGTTATCATTGATCTATTTAATGTCTCCTACATGACATGAAGTCCAAACTATTGTGTTGTACTGATGTCTACACCTACAAAAACCATAAACCCAACCTCAAAGTAACCTGTCGTGTTTTAGCAACATCCACACCAACCATAAGCTTAAAACCCCATCTCACGGTAAACTTTAGTGTACTGTAAAGGTCTGCGCCGACCACAACCCAAACCTTGCCTACTTGCAAATTACTGTTGTGGAGCCCGGATAGCTCAGTCGGTAGAGCATCAGACTTTTAATCTGAGGGTCCAGAGTTCAAGTCCCTGTTCGGGCGTGTGACACTCCTTTTGTGGAGCCACAGCTTTTGCCGTTGAGCTATCGCTTGATGAAATTTTCATCTGGATGCACAATATGTGTACTAGGCATAAAGAAATGGCAGTACAGGTAGTCTTGTAGTCGTGGCCGAGTGGTTAAGGCGATGGACTAGAAATCCATTGGGGTCTCCCCGCGCAGGTTCGAATCCTGCCGACTACGTCCTCCCCCTTTTTTAAATTGCAGCAGTCGTCAATTGTTTGCATTTCCATTGTTTCTTGGGAAAAGCGTTGTGCTGGTAGGAGGAGAAAAACAACAGAGTGTTCTCACTGAAGAGAAAGGGGCTTATCACAGGGAGGAACATACTACACATAGGTCACAACGGCTGTTTCATAGCTCGCCGTGATCGTATAGTGGTTAGTACTCTGCGTTGTGGCCGCAGCAACCCCGGTTCGAATTCTGTGTAGCAACAAGTAAGCTTTACTTGTATCCATACACTTTTTTTCCTAAGTAAACTTTCTTTAAAATTAATAAATAAATAAATGAACAAATGCTTTAAACGTTTTAAAACCTATAATAAACAAAATATATGCACAACAATCTGTCTAGGTCGATGTCCTCAGCAGTAATGGAGCACGTTTAAACAAATGTTATTGTAAGTAAATATTTAAACCATTATGATAAATAGAGTTAAAAAGACCTTTTTGAATGAAAAGTTTTATTGAGATGGATTGTTGGTGATTGTAGATTGAAAATTTAGATTTTGGAATTTAAGGCACCGCAGAAACCCTGTTTAAAAGCAATAGCCCCGGTAATTAGCTATTATAATGATGTAATTCTAACTCAGATACTATCTGTGAGAACTAGTAACAACTACTAGAAACAAGTTTAAACCCATAAAGAAGTTGATGAAAAAATTGTGATCAACGTGAAATATGCAAATGAAAAGTAAAAGTCAACACTATCACCGTAATAGCAGATATCTTCTATGAGAATACTGTAGGTCAAATATCGTCAGCTCATTTGAACTTTAATTTATTGTTTTTGTTTAGTTTATATAGCGCCAGTGCTCAAGGACGCTTTATTAACAGCAGGAGAACAAGAAAAACAATAACCTTAAAAAGGAAGAGAAAATGGGAGACTAATAATACATTAAAAGAATGACAAAAGACACGAGAACAAGTGACAAAAGAAACTCATTCCTGTCTTTCAATGACTGCTTTTGTGCGTTTAGGAGAACTAGGCAGCACACTCAGGGCTGCAAGATGGATTTAATTTAGTAGCCTATTCTTAATATTAAAATATAACAGTATGAAAACCAACCTGTTTGTTCCTGCAGATCTTCCTGTTTGACTGTGAATGTCTCTTCAATCTTCACATCTTCACTCTCCTCTTTAATAAACGCCATCTTTGTAACAGTGTGGAGATCAGTCGCTTCAGCAGGGTTTTTTTTTCTCTGTGTTTGGACACTTAATCCAGTTCAAAATGAACAAAACAATGAACAGAAACAAAATAATTTCTCTTCAACACTTGCTTCAATGGTTTCTTTATTTGAGAGTAATTAACAAAAAGAAATCAGGTGAAACATTTAATTAAAACACTTATTATACACTTTTCTGTTGTTTAATTCAGACAACAGCCTTCAGTTACTGAGAATAAAATAGTACTACTAAAATACTAAAATAGTTATATAAAGGGTTAAAATAATATTTCCAACAGCAGGAACATAATATAGCATCGTATAAAAAACTTAAAACTTTAGAACTTTAACTTTAAATCAGTTTATATCTGTAAACGTTTTAAAACAAACCTTTCTCCAGTTAAATCACAGCGACGAAGCAGCGCTGCCTGATGACGTCACACGCCACGGCAAAATAAAAGTCTTTTTTGTTTAACTTTTTTGCCACTATCTGTTGCAGTCATGACTTATTGATACATTTCTCCCATGGTTTTCACTTTACACTTTGTCTGCTCTCTCTCTCACAAACCTTAAATCTAAACATTTTCTTAACTTTTTTTAATCCACTTTATAATGACTTGTATGTCTACAACACTTTCTATTAATATTTGAGTCCAAATCTCATCCTCATAATTATGACCTCTTCTATTTCTACAACTTC